ATGCAACCTAGTTTTATCACCATATCCACCAGCAGGCATGGAAAATTATTTTAACAATGCTGATTTTTGAGTTTTGCAGTATATTATGGAATATAGTCCAGTTAAATATCTGGTTTCAGTATGTCTAAAGAATACAGTGAGAGGTTAATTTCTGCTCAAGTGGTACCACTTAAAGGCATGTATTCTTTTAGTATGCAAGATGAAATAGTACCTTGAGTTAAATAGAATGCATTTAGGCATTGTACAAACCTGAAAGTTTTCTTCCACTACATTATTGAAATCAATGGAGCAACTCATTTCTCATTCAGAAATGTGCACACTAATATTTAGTTTTGTTTTCTTGTGGATAGTATTGAGCACTTAACTCTGAAGTGTTCTACACGTTATGTCAACTAAAGTGATACTATTCCGGATGGTGGAATATCCCCCAAATATACATGTGTGTGGGCTTGCATAGATTACTATGTTTCATAGTTAATCTTCTGTCTTTTGCGGTGCTCATGACGTGTGGGGCGCACGGAAGGCATTGCTGTGATTAGTCAATTTAGTTTTTCTCTGTAGCCGTTTTATTATTTTGGTGTATTGGTTATGAAGATACTACTATCTATTTGTAAATTGCTACTTTGTATTTTATGCATGCTTTGTAACTTGATTTTTTTTTTTTTAGTTATTGATTTGGAATATATTCACATTCTAATAAACTGTTATAGGGGGACTATTCTTTATGTTGTCAGATTATATTTTTCCTTTGAGTGCTTTGGATGTAGCCATGGAATATTTGCTTCTGATGAGTAAGAGCATAGGTCCCTGGATTACAGAGTAAACAATTGAATTGGAGGCATCATTGTGTGAATTCTGCTTTGATTTTAGACATATAGTTCAATTATGCTGTTCTTGGAAAAAGTATTGAATATTACCAAAAACATTAGGAAAGTAATCTCTGTACTTTGGTACGTAACAGTGTCACCAGACCCAAGAAGAGGCTCCATCACTATTTTACTCAGAATTGATAGTAAATTTTTTACAAAATTATTTAAGAGAAGGAGAAACTAGGTAGTGAATTGAAAATGAATAAAGTAACTTTGAATTTTTACCAAATGTAGACTTAATGTTGCCTCAGGCATGGTTGGATCTTGGGAGAATTCCAAGAAACCTTAAGTAGTAGTAGACAATGAATCTGATTGCATTTCAACAAGTGTCTTCATTCTGAATAGTATCTCAGGAGACAGACTGTCTCAAGTAAGAAACATTAAGTTTTTAAGTATTATGACAATTTAGGGCTCAAGGTAGTTTAGAAGTATTTTGCTTTTTGACCTTGCTTTTCAGTTTTTTTAACTTTGAATTTTTAAAAAACCTATTGTATTGTCCTGAAAAGTCACTTAGCCATCTTGATTTTAACTTGTATGTCATTGTTCTAAAATGCTATTTATGATTTCTCTTTAACAGTAGTTGTTACTCTGTAAGGGTAAGTTTCTTTAGCCATTGCACTGAGTATGCTAAATTGTAATTCTAAGAAGGGGTGCTAGTTGGTGACTTCTGCCAGAGGGTTCTGCAGGAAAGTTAGACTTCTTGAGTTTGGATTGCCCATCAGAGCTAGTCATATTTATTTCATCATTGGGGAAATAAACATCTTAATTTTTGTCGTCAGTGACTTATATTTACAAAATGCAAACCCTCTCAGTGGTTTGAGCTATTGTGATAATCTCTTCCGTCTACCTTAAAAAGAAAAAAAAAGCTCTACTATTTAGACAATTTTGGCCAACACCAGAAGCAGAATAATTCAAAGGCTGGGTGGATAATTAAGAACTTACTCCAACCTGTTAGGTTTCAATTTCTGGAGATTTTTTTTTTAAAACAGAGGAGAAAAATGGAGGCTGGTTATTTGATGTCTCACAAACATCATAAGCCTGAGAAAAAAAATTCAAAACAAAATATGAATTTTGCATAAGGACTGTGCATAAGGATATCTATTCCCTGTGTGAAAAAAAATGAACAAAGACGATGAAAGGACCTTCTTTCACCACAACATTTAGTGGGTTAGCGTAACAGTCAAACGAGTGCTAAAGAGCTGCTTTTTGTTCTCCTGGTTGGAGCAGTGCTGGTGCTGCATCCCTACCTGGGATTTGACAGGTCACCTTTTTCACTCATCTATACAATACGCCGAATAAACTGGAGTTGTCATTCTAATCTTTTAAAGAAACTGTGGGAGGCTGATGGTAACAATAAAGTAATACAGAACGCTAATATCATTACAATTTATGTAAGGGAGACCATTAGGATTAGACTGAGAGATAATGGTATCTATTTTCCTAAAAGCTGAATTGGAGGATAGAGAAAGAATATTTGAAAGGAAGTTGATACTAGGCATATATTAGAAAGTATGCTAAATTCTGAGTTAAAAGATTGAAAGTGGCAGCTATAATAGAGCAGTGGACTGGGTGAGAAAGACTTGGAATCTAGTCACAGATCTTCTAGTCATTTTATCTCTGAACCTCACTTTCTTCCAGTTAATGAGGGGACTGGATTAGACCATTTCTGGGGTTTATCCCAGCCTTAATTCAGTAATTCTATGAATGAACACTTTCTTCAGGTACTAGAGCCAAATTATTATACATTCTAACTAAAATTTAAATTTAATAGATAAATAAAAATCATGTGTATACTTTGCAATATGTTTTTGGTCTTATAATAACTTGATTAAAATGCTGTCTTTATTTCCATGTTAACACCATTAAATAAGATGAAAGCTTTCAGAACATTTGCAAAATGACTGTCAATTTCAACAATATGCATCAAAGTACCATATGTACTAAGGGGGGAGGAGCACTTGAGGGGCTGCTATGTCAACTGTGAGCTGAGAACTGCTGTTTTTTGGCTTTTACTGTTAAAAGAAAATTCTACTGGCTTTTAATATATACTTTGAAATATATTCATGTTTGGGAGAGAGAACCTTTAAAAATATTTTGTGTTTAATTTTTTTTTTTTAATCTCTCAAGTGGAATCTAGTAAGGTAGATCAGTCCATGGACTGATTCCACCAATAGAACCAATGATTAAATCCAAGTGTATAGGTTTATGTGTGCACACACATGATATAAATGGCATTATTTGTCTATTAGGATAGTAATTAATTATTAGTAAACATTTGAATTGAATTATTTAACATTATTAAGCATAGAATTGATAGGTCCTGGCACAGATGTCATGTATATTGGCTGTTAACTACTATGTTATCAGTACCAGTGATGGTGAAAATTAATAGCCAACAGGATTCCCTTCCTGTGGTTGAGTCAGTAGAACTTAACCTTGGCCCCAAACCACAAAATCTCAGACCCTGTTGTCCGCATCCTAATGAATAAGCATGGCTTTTAGCACTCACTCTTAAGGCTCTGGAGGGCCATCTGCTGGGCTAGACAATGGCCTGGGAGGCAGAAACTGGAATAAGGAGGTAATCTGACAACCAGCGCTGCAGACCAGAGCTTCCTCCTTCTCTGGGTTTCTGTTGGACCACTGCTCAGAGTCTTTCTAGCTCTGCAGGTCAGGGAAGAAAATGTATAATCACTATCAGACTAATCACCAGGGTCCTCTATTTATCCCTGCCCTTCTATAATTGCTACATTGTAAGATCTACAAGGGTAGGAAAAGTGCTTTGTTCATACTTACATTCCTAATATTTATCCTTCCTGCAACCCTGTGTCAGAACAATAAGGAAGGACCATCTAAAAAAGTGAAGGGGCTAATCCTAGGGTTCATTCTAGTTTAGCTTGGGGCCTATAGTCTGAGAATTTTACCACTTAAACATTTTAAAAATTGTTACATAAAATTATTACATAAATAATATATAATTATTATATACAGTATAAATAATAGTATAATGAATCCCTTATGTATCCATCATCCATCCCTTCTGAGAAAGATTTTCCATCTTCTGTTGCCACATTACAGATTAATTGGGCCTCTTCTGTCTTCCCTCTGGCTGGATGAATGGCTAATGGTATCATTCTTGAATCTCCTGTATTGAGTGCACAACTTGCAGTGATTGAGTGCACAACCTGCCGCCTTTGGTTGTCATTTATGCTATTGGGTGGTATTCTGAGCCTCGTAAGTCATAATCTTAAAGCACTATTATTCTCGGTAAATACCTTTATTAGCCTTATAACCCTTGATTATGTTTTGTCTTTCACTCAGATGTCAAAGCCCTAGCCTCCCGGCCTTTGAGGATTGTCTGTTAGATCTTTTCTGAATTGAGTCTTAGTCTCTAAATAGCAAAAGTTCTTGGTTAGACATTTTATTAAGTGGAAATAACTTTTGAGTATCATGTAAGCCTTGTGAACTGACAAGTTGAAAGGTTTTAGTTTGACTTAAGTATGAGGATTACATACAAAACTTTGAAAGTATAAGGGAGAAATTTTAAACTTATACCATTGAATGCATTCAGTAAGCTATTTCTTAGCATTTGTATTTTATTACAAAATTAATTCTGCTGCTTCTTTACCAGTTAGGTCACAAGGATATGTTTTAAAAGGTCCTGAAACAGATGCACCTAGAGTACTGTAGTGGGTGATAACTTCTGGTGGACAGCTCTTCATTGCACTTATGCTAATTAGGTGGCCCTTACACTTGCCTTTATTCCTTTCCATAGAAGTACCTTTGTGTCTCTGGAGCTGAGCACAAGTTGTAATAGTTGTCTTTGAGTCCAGATCTTTGTGAAAGCAGAGAAATTCTCTATTTGAGTATACTGATGTGTGTGAGATATTTCAATAATTTTTGTACATGAATAAGAATGTGTTGCTCCCATTCGTTACTTTAAAGGAAGAGACTCTATTGTTATAAATTTGATAGAACCTTTTCACTTTATTTTCAAACATCTGTTGGGATGACTTTCACTTTTCTTGCTGTCTAGAGTGACCACGCAAAATGTAGGTTAGCTCTACATTTAAACCTAAGGTGTAGATGATAGACACATTTTCAGTTTGCAACACAATAGTGGGCATTCTTGTTAAATTAGTTTGAGAAATTCATTTTATTTTGTACAAGGTACGATCCTTCTGCACAGTGAACAAATATATTACAAATCTGGGGTGTTTAAAAAAGTATTGCCATTTCATAGTTCCACTTATGCTATTGTACAGTGACTGTTTTTTTCTTATTCATTTGAATTGTATGCACATCACTTTGAGTAAAAACTTAATTTCTGTAAAATAATTGAACAGATTTTTCCATGTTGCCAATAAAATGCACAGTGCACACGTTTAGGTTGACCATGAACCTATTTGTGACAGTGCTAGACAGAAGTTCCTAGTAGGTGCTCTGTTAGATTGGAATGTCTTTTACCAGTAACTCTTAGATATGTGAAGGCAGCTGTTGTCACAATAGATTAATGACACCCTCTGTCTTTCCCTTCTTCACTGTATTGCCTGATTTGAATTGTATTACATTTCTTTAAAAATCATAGAATGCTAGAGCTGAAGGGTTGTCAGAGCTCCCTTACCTTTCTCTGCTTCTACCTTTTTTTCAATACATGGGGGAAAAAGGAACCCAGAGAGGGCAAGTAACGCTCACATCTCGACCCAGTGCTTTAGCAATTCCACCATGCCACCTCTTGCTGAATTTTGCCAGAAGATACTTGGCAAAAAAGAGGTGAAACGAAACTTGAGTGCTTGTTTGCAGTTTGCCAGGCAGCAGTTATTGTACATGCAGGCTAAGGGAAGAAAATAAAACCTGGGATTGAGACGAAGTTTCTCCTTGCTGATCTGACTTCACCATGCTTCTTGATCCTTACTTGAGAAAGATATTTGAGCACTTGCTGCCCTGAAATACTGAGGTAAGTCTCTTATCTCTATTTCTTCCTGCATAAGTATGAGAAATATTTACTTGGGCCTACGAAGTAATTTTCTAGTATTTATATTTTAATAAGGCTTTTTTTGAAAGTAAATTTGCTATTGCTGATCACTTGCTCCCATGCATACATGCAGCATTCATGTAAGGATTATATTTTCCCCTAACGATAAAATTTGCTTAAGCCTTGAGTGAAGTGGGGAAGGGAGGATTTACTCATTTATTTATTTTCTTGCTTTTGCTGGTTATTGCCCAAACTAATGGGTTCCATGGCAGACTTCCAATGTGTATCAAGGGCTTCAGAACTCCCACATTTCCTGTAGCAGCTGTTCCAGCTTTGCAGTCATTTACAGTCACTTAGTTCCTCTTCTGTATACCTTTTTGGAAGTATTTTTTACTGCCTGGACTGTTAATCAGAGAATGGAGTTGGTATAGGGTGGTCATTAGTTTCCCTGCTTTGCCCTTTTGGTCTTTAATTCTTGTGAGGAGGTCCTCTTTAGGGCTTGGGAGAGGCTCCTTTTTGGCCCATCCGAGCCCCAGTTTACTTATATTCATTAGAGTGGAAGTATAGATACACCTGAATACTGGGATCAGGAGCATTAGCTCATTGTAATACATTTTTGGCCATGTCAGTAGGTGGTGCTTAGAAGGTAGAAGTACTTCATATACTTATATGTTAAGTTTTTACATCATGTTACAGCAATTGATTACAGTCCATTCTTCTTTGATCATTTCATTTAGTTCCATCAAAAAGCATAATGTACTTAAGACAACTTAAACTTCTTATATCCACTTTTGTTTAATTTCCTCTACACTTTTAGGTTCCATACTACATCAAGCTCGATTTATGAAGATATGCTTGACAGCATGGACTCTTCTGAGTCAAGGAATGCCAACCAAATAAATTCGGGAGGCCGAATAACCATTTTTAGGGATGTTTAATTCTTACCAGTCTATGACTGCTTGCCTAAAGGCATCATCTCAGAGTTCCGTTTCACGTGGAATAACTGAGGTGTTGGATGGACTCAGGAGATATGACAAGGCCAGGACTGGCTTGCAATGTTCTTGAACTTTGAATTGGCAAGATTTTGTAAAGCTGGCCTAGAAATCATTGTTTGACTCAAAGAGGCTGTTGCGCTTTGGAAACTTTTTTTCCCTCCTACTACCACCAGGGCTAGAAGAGGGAAAGTTAATTTGTATTCATTAAAGTCTTATTTTAAAAAATTGAAGTTGTCAGCATTAGACTGTATACTAAACTCTGTAATCTTGGCAGTTATAATTTGATTGACCTGACATATATGTACAGGTACTTTAGGATTGATATTAGCACAGTTTGTGTCTCTGTACTAATTATCTTAGGTAATAAAACAGATAAGTGATGGTAACAGGAACCAAAAGCACATATACATTTCAGGTGCTTTAAAGTAATCCCCTCTCCTCCCCAGTCCCCTTTACTCCTAGGAAAGTTGGTAAAACCTATTCTACGTGCTTTCTAAGCATCATGTTTCAGATAATTTAATATATAAATATTAATATGTATATATTTAGCTAATGTTGATGAGTAGCTTTATCTTAAATGTTTTAAAAGATCATATAATCCGTGGCATTTGGGGTTGGGGGTGGGTGGGTGGTAGAATTTGCTTTTGAGAACGGACCTCTTGAACAGTTACCCAGTCCCACTTGGAAGCTCTTCTTTAGTTCCAGGTGAATGTTATAACTGACACGCAGCTGGAGTCAGTCTGTACCATTATTTCAGTCAAGGGATTGTCTTCTTTCAGAGAGTCAGAGAACATTCAGCAGAGCGCATTGCAAGAGAGAGGCTTAACCCTCAAGACTGCTTGTCCTGGGACGGCCCATTGGCAGGGCTCTGTCTTACTGGGAGGAGGTTATAATGACCAGGAATATGGCTGTTCCTAGGTAGGTCGTATGGATTCTGGATATAGCTGGAGTTACCACCACGGCCTTCTTGGACCACACTGACTGGGGGCTCTAAGGAATATAGTGAAAAATGAGTTCAGAGAACAGATTAGCTTTGGTTGCCTTGTTGGGGGGAAGAGAATTCTATTTAACTTGGTCGGGGGAGAAGCCAGGGGTTTATGATAAATGTATGACGGTTAGGACTGAGGCTTGTTCAAGAGATTGAAAAGCTAAGTGAGTGTGGTGTCAGAATCCCAAGCTCTGGTCAAAACCGAGGGACTTAGAGTATCCTAGAGGTAGGGGTCAGGGATTGTATCAGTGAGCCCAGGGACATGGGTTAAACTGGGAAAAAGTAGAACAAGGTGATTTTGAAACTTGCAAATGTCTGTTCTGATTGTTTTCTTTTTTAAACAGGAATTTGTGTCAACAATCAGTTGAAGTGTATGTGTTTGTGTGTATCGACTCCCCACCCCCAATATATCTGCTTCACACGTAGCCTTAGTGTTTTTTAAAAGCAGAGTTGGCACAAGAATTTGATTTCTTGTATGAGAGAGGAGGGCAGTCCTGGGAAAGACAGTTCACCTTGGATTCCTTAAAAAGCAACAAAAGAAGGGTGTATTTTCAAGACAGGGGGACTGGAGAGGGCTGTTTTCACTTCAGATGCTGTACTAGTGCCCTGATTTCACTAAGTTACTTATTTGAGACACCTACCAACTTCATATATATTTTTATTAGATGTCGACAAGGATGGCACATCTGTGTATGGAGACCCCGTGTGCACAGGCGACTTCATTTCTACATAGCTGCTTTCTGGAAGCGTGCAGGTGAGGATGGGTAGGTCCTTAATTGTGGCATAAGGGTTTTCACTGCTATTCAAGGAACAAGTGCTAGAACTGCATACGGATTCTTTCATGTAATCTGCAAGGCAAGAGAGATTTCTTAGGACAAGCAAGGACATATGACTTAATTTAAATACCAAAAGCAGAGTACAGTTTATGTGCTTTCAGGATTGCGAAGTTGTAAACACCTTTGATAATCCAAGATTCACTTACTAAATACGTTGAGGAGTGCTTTTCTAGGTAAGCAGAGTTCTAAGGAATTATGTTTTTGGAGGGATAAGAACATTTTTGTTTTAGTAGTCAGGTATACCTGACTACTAAATCCCACCAGAAAGGGATTAATTCAAGATATTCATAATATGCTTTCACATCTGTTATTTAATTTTTACAAAATCTTGCAAGGATAGTTGACTGCATTTTATAAGATGATGGCCCAGGGAGATGAAGTGACTTGTCTAAGGTCATATGGCTCATGAATGGCAGTGCTAGTACTTGAATCCATGCCTTGGGACTCCTTGGCCTGTGTATTTTCTGTGATATCATTTTTCTGAATTCTTTTTGATGACTAAGCTTAGGTTCAGAAGAAGTAGGCGTGTGATTTGGCACAAGTGCCAGCAATTTGGCAACCTTTAGGCAGCAAACAGGTAAGTATCCCTGCTCTGGAGAAGCTCGTGATCAGAGGTGGGGCAGACTGAAGTGTAATAGAGGTTTAAAAAGCACCTGGGTCTCAAGCTAGGCTTTGGAAAGTTCCTGTTTTCTAGTAAGCCTGCAGTATATCTTCTGGGGTCAATTACTCCAGTTCTCAGGAATGCTAACTGAAATCTATTTTAGCAGTATCTTTCTCTGATACTAGGAGAACTCGTGCTGCTTCTCCTGTAAGTCTCTCAGGTGCATCATCCCCAAGACTTCAGGGTGTATTAGGGTACAAAAGTTGCAAACTGGTTTCCAAATATGAAGCAAGGTAACTGTAGCTCACTGGAGGAAGAAGGTTCTCTTTGTGACTCTGGGAGTCACAGTGAAACGGGAGCCCTTCTTTCAACCTCTATGCCATTTTCCCTTTTGGAGGAAGATTACTGCCTCCTGTGGATTGTTTCAAATGAGGCAGAACTTGCCCAGAAAAAGCAGGAGACTCTCTAATTTGGCAACTCTGGCCCTCATCCTTCTGTGAGGCTCTGCCAGCCAGGGGAATCTAGAAATAAGCCCTGAGTTGCAGGGGCTTCGTAGTCAAGAGTGATCTAAGAAGTCTACATTTCTATAAGTGGTAGCAGATGGTGAAATTTCTCTATTTCTCAGCTCTAAATTTCTATAAGTGCTAGCAGATGGTAAAATTCTCAGATGATCTTTCACTAGAACCACCACAATTTACATTTGGGGCTGCTATTTTTCTATGCTTTCTGCCTCCAACTTGTGAAAGTAACGAAAATGTAAAAAAGTGAAAGTGGTAGTGTAATTCAAGGGGTTACTGGATGTACCTTGGTCCGGTGAGAGCAGAGCGCTCCACGTGACTGAAGTTGTTGAGATGTGTGCCACCACAGGAGTCTTTTCTCCCACAGCAGGTAACTGGTTGGGAGGGGATTTACTTTTTTGTTAGTATAGGGTTATTTATGTTTGTTTTAGCAGGTAACATTTCCTCAATCTTGTACAAAACTACATTCACCCATTAGTTCCTTCAAGTGTAGGCAGAGCAGTAATTATTATTTCCCCTCCCCCTTTATTGCTCATGAGGAAACTGCGATTTGTATAGTGACTTCCCCAGGGTTACCCTGCTCATCAGTATTAGAGCAAGCTCCAGAACCAGGCTCAGAGCACTTTGTATCACAGCTTAGCCCCCAGGCAGAGAGAGATGTGGGTCTTAGGTCCTGTCTTAGATTGTGGCCTCTCTCTACCCTAGAACCCTAGAGGGGAGGAGAAAACATTCTTGCTAGACAACGAGCAGTCCCAGCAGAGACTAAAGGGAGGCTGGATTGGCCCAGCTACTGGTGAGGCTCTCATAGGGGAAATGTGGCTCTGAGTGCTAGGCCATGACCTGCCCGAGTCACATGGAATTGCCTCTAGTGAATACTTTGTTTCTTAGTACAAGGGAGTGGGGTTAAGTCTAGGAACCCCAGCTGGCCCCTTGGTCCCATTTTGGGTTCTCTGAATTTACCAGCCAAGTAGTAAGGCAGTATGACTCAGCTGCTCCTGTGGAAGCTGAGGACTACTAGTACTGCTTAAAGAAGGGCTATCCCCTAACACCTCTCCCCTCCTCCCCACGCAGGCACATCAGTTTTACTTTGATTGGCAGCTGACTCAGTTGCATATTTTCTAAAATTTGAGGACTAGTGTTAGCTCGCTTTATAGCACATGTAGCTGGTCTTCACTGACTCCAGTTAGATCATTGACACTTGTTACATCTGTGCAGGGGGCCAGGCAGGAAGGACTAGTATTACTACTTTAGAAATGAGGAAAGTAAAGCTTATAAAGTTTGCCTAATGTTAGTAAGTAGTTAAGTTAGGACAACCCCTACCTGCTCTGATACCCAATCAAGGTGTTTTCCCCTCATATTTTGTTACCCTGTACACCTGTTCTATATCCTAAATGCAAACTATCTGCAACAGCTTCACCTTACCCTGAACAAGGAAAGCCTTTTATCTGTGGGGCCAAGTTCAGCTGAGAAAGGCCAAGCTCTTTTTTGTGGACGTCCCATGACTGATTATTAGGGCAGTGGGAGAGGCTTGAAGCTCTAGCTCAATGCCTAACAGAGCCTCAGCCAACCAGTAGTGGCCCTCTTATTTCCACCAGAAAAGTCGGCTGCTTTCAAGTTTGGGGAAATAAATTGTTTGCTCTGTAGCAGGGGATGCACCTAAATAGATAAAAGGGATATTGGGGTTTGTGGGAATGGGGTGAGTCTCAGGGAGAGATGTATCATCCATAAAGGGGCCAGAGGTAAAGCCAAAGGGGATGGAGAAGAGTGTGTGTGTGCGTGTGTGTGTTTGGAGGTGGTGGTAGGAGGGTGTTGAATTATGGAGTAAACTGGATTCTGTTTCTGAGGAGGGAGGGGAAGGGCAGGGCCAGCTGGAAAACTATACTTCAGGAACCTACTCTTTTCTCCAGCTGAGTCATCCACCTGCCTGCTCTGAGGGAGGGCAGGGTAAGGGGAAGAATAACCAGCTGCTCTAAGACACTTCCTCATCTTTTTATAGCCCCACCTCTATACCAGTCTTTGCACTTTGGGCATGTTGCAAAGAAAGGGGAAACATCAACCAAGGCTCTCCAAGCTCTGGGGAGTCACTCCTTTAGGGCCTGTAATTAGCATCAAGGCTGAAGGTTTAGCCCTATAGTGTCCTGGCATTTGTTCTCATATAGTTCCTACCTTCCCCAAATCATATACAGCCACATACTATCAGAGGCAGAAGGGGCCTCTGAAATGAACTAATTGAAACATCTTTATTTTATAAAGGAAGTAACAAATCGAGAGAGGGGAAATGATTTTCCAAGGCCATCTTGTGAGTAGGATTTGAACTTATCCCAGCCTTCAGGTTCACACTATCATCTACTTAAGGCCAATATTTCACTGTTGGGGAAAACCTAGGCACTGAACGTCCATCTCTTGTCTTCTCAGCCTACTACTACTATTAGAAGGCCACAATGCCTTTTCTCCCACACTGGCTGAAAAAGGTTTTCAGGATGTCAGTGGGCTCCTGACTACCTGGGAAGCCAAGGTTATTGCAAGGAGAGACTTGGGAGGTTGGATTAGCAAGGAGCATACAGGTGGGGAAAGGGGCAGCAACAGTGGGATCCAGGATTTCAGGATCATTAAGGTGATGGAGAGTAGTGGGGAGGATTTCTAATATAGCACTTTGAAATGCCTGACAGATAAGTGTTGACATGAGGCAGTTTGTTGCAGAATAATTTTGCTGAGAGGGGAGCAGGGGAAGGAGAGATGGAAAGGTGTTTAGAGGTAAAATGGGGTTAGCACAGCGGTATGAGTGATCTCGCGCAACCTCCAGGATGACAGTGAGTGGAGGTCTTTAGTAAGTAACGGGAAAGAGGGAGCATTGACTGGATTAGATGCTTAGAGCTGGAAAGGGCTTTAGAGATAGTGCTTGCACAACCCTGTCTTTTTTTTTTTTATAAATTTATTTTATTTATTTATGGCTGTGTGGGGTCTTTGCTGCGCGTGGGCTTTTCTCTAGTTGTGGTGAGTGGAGGCTACTCTTTGTTGCGGTGCGCGGGCTTCTCATTGCGGTGGCTTCTCTTGTTGCGGAGCACGGGCTCTAGAGCGCAGGCTCAGTAGTTGTGGCACACAGGCTTAGTTGCTCTGAGCCATGTGGGATCTTCCCAGACCAGGGATCGAACCCGTGCCCCTGGCGTTGGCAGGCGGATTCTTAATTACTGTGCCACCAGGGGAGCCCCAACCCTGTCCTCCTAATAGAGGAAGAAACCAAGACTCAGAAAATAACACTGTGATCTAATCAGTGCCACACAGCAAGAACCAGGACTAGAACCCAGATTGTTTTTTTGTTTTTGTTTTTTGTTTTTTTGCGGTATGCGGGCCTCTCACTGTTGTGGCCTCTCCCGTTGCGGAGCACAGGCTCCGGACGCGCAGGCTCAGCGGCCATGGCTCACGGGCCCAGCCGCTCCGCGGCATGTGGGATCCTCCCGGACCGGGGCACGACCCCGTGTCCCCTGCATCGGCAGGCGGACTCTCAGCCACTGCGCCACCAGGGAAGCCCGTTTTGTTTTTTGTTTTTCTAAATTTTTGTTTGGCTGCACCGTGCAGCTTGCAGGATCTTAGTTCTCCGACCAGGGATTGAACCCGGGCCCCAGCAGTAAAAGCGCCAAGTCCTAACCACTGGACCACCAGGGAATTCCCCTTAGAACCCAAATATTTTAACTTCCAGGCCAGGGCTCTTTCCCACTGAGTTCAGAGAACACTAAGCCTCTTTATCTTAACTCTTAGTGGTTATAATTTGGTTTGGGCCAGTAGTTTTAGGAAATAATTCCATTCCTGGTACAAACTAGTTTATTAAATGTTTATCTGGGGAGTTCAGCCAGTTAGTGGGGTTTATTCCATGTCTTTGATAAGTATTTCTGTAAAGCTCTTAACTGTGATGTTCCATTTTCCTCTTGTTCTGGTGTATTGGTCCCTAACACCTGTTGGTACATTTGCCTACCTAGTCATCTCTTCTCTCCAATTTAAAGGATAATTATAGCCAGAGTGGTGAAATGAAACCTGGCTGCTAGCTTCAGGGTCTCCCCTGCACTCAGACACTCAGATGTATGATCCCACAAAACAGGAATGAATGACGCCATGGCTGAGTCCTTAACTTTGTCCTTAACTTTGTTTTACATTTATGGCTGCGAGTAACTACTATAATCACAATGCGCAGGACAATGAAGTGCATAGGGAAGTTGTGTGCTCATTTATTGAGGTGTCTGGGCCTGTCTGAATTCATTCATGCTTGAGTCATGCATATTCTCAGAGCTGTAAAGGTCCTTAGAGATGTTTCTGTCCAATCCCCATTCCTCCTTGAGAAAGAAACTGAGGTCCCAGGTCACAGTGATAAAACAGTATAGTTTTGTTTTCTGTTGTTTAGCTTCATCTACTGTAATGGCGCTTCCTTTCATTTGGGTGGTTTAAATCAAAACTAACAAAAAATTGCCAGAATGATGATCCCAAGGGCATAGTGACCTATGGGTGACCTTCTGTCCTCAGATCGTTCTCTTGGGCTGTGCACATTCTAACATGTGCTGGTGGAGACTTGTCCTTCCTGCTCTATTGTTCAGAACACAATTCTCACCACCACCCACCCCTAGCTCACCCCACTTTTTTTTTCCCCCTCACCCCACTTCTAATAACCACCCCACCAAGGGTTGAAGACGACTAGCTCTCCTTGGTTAGGAAAGTGGTGTCTCAGGTGTACCTAAGGCTAAGTCTGAAAGACCAGAAGGGTAATCTGGGAAATCTGAGTCAGTCTAGACTTAGGGGTTTGTAAGTGTTAGGTGATATGCTACATAAGGATACCCTGAGGCATTTGTCACAAAAGGTCCCACTCTAGATCTGTGGCATCAGAATCTTGGGGAGTTGGGGGGTGAACATATGTATTTTTAACAAGCTTTCCAGGTGATTCTGGTACACAGCTAGGTTTAGGATATCCACTGGGATCGTTGCTGTAAGTCATATCTCTTTCAGTTTGGCGGAGACTCTTAAATAGTCCTCAGAGACAAAAGGACAACTCTATTACATGAGTATAATCCGTTACAATATGCAGAAACACTTCTGATCTGTGTTTTTTATTAGATACTCAGGATAACCTTGTTAGATCATAGGACAGGCATACTTATCCCAACCTTGCAATTTGAGGAAACTGTGCCTTAGGGAGGTTGGTTATAGCTAATAAGTGACAATTTCACAGCCACCTGTTTCACACATTTCTGTTATTTAAACCTAGGCCCTAAGCCAGGGGCAGGACCTGACCTTTCATATTTGGCTTCACCTGTATACTTCCTAGAAGGATGATCCAACTTGCAGTTCCCATGTGTTAGGGATTAGTCCTGGCTTCCCTCTTCTCCAGGGCAGAGATCTCGTGAGGGTGGAGTGCCGTACAATATTAACACTAGGTATTATTTTCATTCCTCATGCCCCAGAAAGCCAGAAGGTGCAGGGTGGCATTCCTTACCAGCGCAATGACAGGAGGCCTCTGGGGCAGGTAGATTGACTTTATTTCAGATTTTAAAATCAATTTAACTTGTACTAATTGGTTGGATAATGACGTTCTACATTTCCGAAGACATTTAGTTGGCATCTATAAAAAAAAAACCCATAAGCGTTTCCTAAGCAGGTGCAACTGAAATCAAAAGATGAAATCATTATTATTATGATTGCTCCTCCTGGGCAGAGCTACCCAGCAGCCCCAGGTCCTGTGGTCTTTAACTTTTTTGGGGGGGTGGGGGAAGAGATGCACAGTTTGTACCTGGTAGAACTGGCCATTTCAGATCTGCACTCTTTTTCTTGCTAAGCCCTTTCTAATGGGACGTCAGGATTAGATACTGTACCTTTGAAGCCTTTGTCCATAATGTATGTGTTCTGACGTCTGTCCATTCCACAAGCACCTGCATAAAACAGTAAAAGGAAAGAAAAATGTAGGGGTGAATGAGGTTTACCTAGACTGCATGAGTTCTTTTGTTTGTTTGTTTTCTTTCTCCCCTACCCAGAAAATAAATAGTTCTTTAGTGCTAGAAAATTATTCTGGGTTTAATCTACTCTAAATCATCTTGACCATACAGGAATTCTTTAAAAGCTCCTAAAGCATAAATGATGAGCTACAGCACCCCCTGGCATATTTAGCACTACTGCTCTTTAACCTTCACTCTGAGGGGAATGTCTTCCAGGAGGTGATCAAAGGCAGTTCTGATGCCACCTACAGTCACTGTAGGTGAAGTTTCAGTCTCCAAAAGTATAGGATAAGGAATGAATCAGAACCAGTTCTTAGCTTGGGGGAAGGGTGTATGACATTCCCAGTCCCAGTTCTGTTGGACTTCGGAGAGGGGGTGAAGACTGTTTCTCACCTTGTAGCTCTGGTCTTCCCTCTCCCCTTCTGGATCCAAAGCTCGACTGAGGGGAGCCAGAGGGAGGTGGACAGGTAGCTGAGGTTCTTCATTGGTCATCTCTACAGGATGTATAGTCATTCCCTTACATAGTCAGCTGGCTTAGTCCCCCTCCCCCTGCCCCACTTTTTTTGGGTGGACCATTTGCACATAATTGAGAGTTGTATTTGAACAATACTACCAGTGTTTTTCAGTCCCAAGGATTTCTTTTTTCCCTTTTGGCTGTCACAGTTTATCCTAGGCTCCCACAATGCATGGTTCTGAGCCCCAGCCAGAGGCAGGAAGGACACAAAGCTTCAGGGACCAAGCTCTGGTTCTTTGCTACTGGTGATCCCAGAAAAGAAATTATGTGATACTTTAAATTTGGGACAGTGATGACTTGGGCTCACAAAGCCATTATTTTCAGCTTTTAACTGAGAATGCCATATCAGGCAAGGCATGCAGCAACTGCTTACTAAAATACGGTTTGACTGCACTTGACTCTCCCCAGTTTTTGACACTGAAGACCAACCCATGGCTGTTTAGATACCTCCCCATACCTCTTCCATATAGAGGTCCCTAGTTGAAATTGCAGGAGGCTACTCCTATCTCCCTTCCTTCCACACATTGCTGAGTGATAGAGCAGAATCAGATCCAAGTTTTTCTCAAGTTTGCTATTCTCCAAAGGGCCTGTAGGTACCTGTGCCCTTCAGAAGCATGACTGTAACAGTCTGTATCACTGGTGTCAGTTCAGCACTTTATTCTAGACCAGGGCTTCTTTTGCCCTCCCTGAGGGAGGGAGACGAGGCTGTTAACTTTTTCCCTTTTTAGAGAACAGGAAGCAGGCTCAAAGAAGGGCAGTGACTTGTCTGAGATCACACCGACAAGTGAGAAGTTGGGTTCTGCCTAGAGCTCAGATGTTCTCAAGTATTCTCTCCCATTGGCCACCAGCCTTTCTCAGTGTAAGCGAAAGAATGACAGCGTGTGGTGGCTCTGGCTACAGTGGTTGAAGGGAGAAGTCTGGGCTGAGCCCAGAGGATGCTCCCAAATGGAAAGAGGTGCAGGGTGGTGGTAGTGTGTGTGTCGGGCGGTTGTATTTGGTGGGGTTATTGAATGTCCTGAGCACTGCTTAGGGGGATCACAGCCAGGAGCACAGCCTCCTGGGTATAAGCCCAGGGTGTTTGAAGCCCGTGCCTACTTAACAGGTAGATGGATTTAGAACCTTCGCTCTTCTTACTGCTACTGGCCTCAGAGACCTGCAGGGGTTGGTAGAGCTGCATTTCACTTGAGCTCTAGAAACCAGCTAGAGCCTGAATTCAGGCCCAGGTTGTCCAGTGTGCCATCTAGGGCAGGACTGCTTTGCAGGGAGGCCAAATTCTCTGTTTATTCATTGCACCTACTTCTGTAACTCCTACCTCACATCCTCCCATAGCAGGACTGATTTTCCAAGTCTCTTTTCTGCATCTTTCCCAAGCTACCAGGTTTGAGCCTAGTATATGAGCACAGAGGATGTTGGTTGACACATCCTGCCTCAACCTCTCTAGATCCCTACTGGACCACCCTACCCTATGATCTGGGAGAGCTAGTCTGGGGTCTCTCTCTGAGGGACACTGGGCTTTTTGGCCAGAGAACCAACTCTCCGTCATTCACATCCACGGGCCCAAAGAATCCCAAAGATGTCACCATCTCCAAGTCACTTCTCAGTGGTTTTGGGTTGTATTCTGTGGTCTGCAGGGAGTGCGGTTATGTTGTGTTCCCTTCACCTAATACTACTTGCAGTTTGTCCATATCCACTGACCATGATAGGAGGAGAAGGGGTGACTGGGGGGATCCAGACAGGCTTCCTTCTTCAGATAGGGAATTGGGCTTGTAGATTAATTATGTCGGAGGGAAGGGGCTCAGCAGGGAGAGTTCTGGGACCATGGGGGTAAGTTAAAGGATAGGAGTGGGGGTTAGGGTAGGTGCTGGGTCTGGTCTGGTATGACAACCTCAGGGGTCCAGGGGATAGAGGGTAGGGCTGGGAGTCTAACCTGGTGAGTGTAGCTCAGCGGGGCGGCTGAGGTGTCTAAGTTCAATGTAGAAGTCCTCGGGCGGGTACCTGGCCTCCAGGGCACTGATCTGGAAATGGGAGTCTAGTGAGAGGATGACAGGGAGGAGCCATTATTCCCAGGGCCCTGGTATGACAGGGGTTGGGGGATGAGGGTCAGGGTGGGGCAGGTTGGAAGGAATTAGGGCTTCCATGTGTAGCATCCAAAGGCGCTAGAGCCAGCAGGGCCAGAGGGATTTGCTAGAGTTGAGGCCACTGGCCTTGCTACCCCTCACTCCCCACCCCTCACCCCCATAGGAATTGGTGTCTGCCAGGGCAGTGGGGCAGAGGGAAGAAGCCCTTGAAAGGGGCACCTTGGTAGGGCCTGGCTCAGGCAGGGGTCCCTTTCCCAGATGGTGAGTGCATCTTTTGCTTCCAACCTGAATCCCCACATCTGGGCCCTAGCTTTCTCCCTTGTGGTCCCTGGGTCATAGCCACTCTCTCCCTATCCCCTAACATAGGAATGAAAGGGGTCTTGGACTTCATTTGCTTATAAGAGCTGAAATAGGGCCTTGGGTTTCCTCCCCACACCCCTTCACCCTGGGGGAAACCATGCTTAAGATTTATCTACTAACTCTCCCAGGGAGCTGGGATGGGCCCCTGTCAATATGGGAGATGGAGAAGAGGGCGGGGTGTGATGGCAGGGGGCCAGACTCAAACCACTACTGACCTAACACGTTCACATAGCTGTAGGGGGTCCAGCCTGCCATGTCTCTGTCAAGGGACTTGTTACTGAGCTGTTTGGAAAGTAGGAGAGCGAGTTACTATCTAGTGCCCTTGAGATGCCCCTGCCCAGCCTTTGCTTTTGCCCACCCTCGTGCACCCACCCCTGTGATGACCCTGACGCACCTAGGTGCTAGGTCGTTGAGGGAAAGGGATAGTTAGGTGTTCTATGATAGGCCACCGTGGTGTGGCTGAGGCCAGTGGGAACAGAACATATACCCCCACCTAAGCAGTCTGGCTGAAGCTGTAAGGCTCTTGGGCCCCTGGGACAAAGGGGAGCAAAGGGCAGGGCCTCTTGAGAGCCAAGAACTGGCCTGAGCCAAGCTGGCCCTGACAGGGAAAGCAGGTCAGCTGGGTGGGGCCGAGCTGCAGGAGAAGGGGGTGCTGGCAGTGTCTCGGCTGCAACACGAGGCCATCTCCAGCACAGAGCCGGGTGCTGAGGCTGCCTGCAACATCACTGTCACCTCTGCCACCTGCCCTGGGCTGAGTGTGAGAATCTTCCTTTCATGTGACCAAGAAAGCTTCAGGGTAGGTTGGCCTCATGGCGCAACCCTTCCTCTTCCTGCGTTCTCACAGCTGCCCTTCATATGAGGCAAGGATGGTTGTTTTCATTTCACAGCTGGGGACCTGAGTCCTGCTTGTGGGCCCCGCTCATGGTCACACACACAGGCAGTGACAGAGCTGGGTCTACAACTCAGGTCTCAGCTCCCAGACCCATGTCCTTTCCATGTCATCACAGCTGCCTGCCCTTGCTAAAAATTTGCCAGGCTGAGGGGTCCCTGACCACACAGAACTACTTTGGGCCCCTGGGGAGAAATGAGCCAGAGGGTCACCAAGTGGGCTACTCTGTAGTAACTCCACCCCCTTACTGAGTGACAGAGGGTGGCTGGCGCTTCCCTGTCAGCGTGAGACCAAGAATGACATGGCCACAAGGGACTTTGTCTCTCACCCCTGGCGTCCTTTGCCTCTAACCTGCTGTAGCCTTGACAATGTGGCTCTAGTTAATCAAGGACCTCCTGCTGGGAAGCTCCTGGATTCCCTTCCCTTGGCTCCTCAGATCAGCCTAAAGCTGTGAAGCTGGGTGTGGGGCTGACGGCCACAGGCTTTGCATACAGACCTCGAGGTACCCCTGCTTGCAGCACTGCCATTCTATTGGAAAACTGAGGCTGAGAGCCCCTGAAGAGGGCCTTTGGGTGCTGGCTTGACAGGGGTGGCTCCTGGGGCTATATGGGGTCTGTGTCATTGTTGCTAGGGGGCTCAGGGTGCATTGCTACCAGGGCTGTGGCAGCAGCCATGGTCTGTGGACTGGTGGACATTTTCTGTGGGGCAGATGGGGAGAAAGGATCCCTAGAGCTCTATAAGGCACAGACCTGGAGGATGAAAACTGTGCTCCTGGCCATGTTCCTGGCCCAGGATGGGGTTTTGCCACCCAGCCCCCCATGGTCCTGCCACTGTGTGTGTGTGTGCGCGCGCAGGTGTGCAGCATGAGCCCGTTGACCTTGTGGTCCTTGGGGCTGTCCCTCATTTCTGAACCTCTCATCTGCCCACTATGGATCCTGGCACACCAGGGCGTGCTCACTACACATGTGTGCTAAGACATCCTTGCCCAATGGCCTGTGATTGTAACAGGACGTCTTGCCATCAGCCAGTGTTAGGCTGGGAGCTGTGAGGAAAGGCCCTGTCCAGGGTGATACACACCTGACCTTGAAGGCCTGCAGGACTCATTGTTAATGGCAACACTTGGCTGTGGCTGATGTTTGGGTTCCATGTCCCTTGTGATGGTTCTGATAGCAACAAATGGTTGTGGGTGTGTACTGATAACATGTAGTATGTAAGGTGGTACCTAAGTAATAGTAGTTACTCTATAATGTGCTGGCTGCACACATGGTGCTGGTAACATACTGTGGTGATTAATTCTGTAGTGTTTTGATTATATGTGTTAACATGAGGCAAAAGTGGTTATTACATGTGTGACAAGGCTACACATGATTACTTGATCACATGACTTGGTACCCACTGGTTACACACAGGGTATGGGGGTGTATGTTATACTGAGTGATGCTGTGAGTTAGTTACATGTGACGTGTCCTGGTTACATGGCACTTGTTGGCTCCATATAACCTGGTGGCTTCCTCTTACATGCTTCACAAGAGTGTTTACATGGGATCACAGGGCAATGTGTATTGTATTGGCAGTTGGTTCCACACAGACCCTGGGCGGGGTGGTGGTGGTGCAGTTTCTTCCCAGGCAGAGGTGAGGGCTCAATGCGCAGACAGTGGATGGGGGCTGGGGAGTTAGGGGCCCGGTACCTTGGTGGGGCTGTTCCTGTCCAGAGTGCTGGCCTGGCTGGTGTTAGGCCCCCCGCATACCAGTGCGTGGTAGCTGGAATTGGAAAAGCACTGGGCATGGCTGCTACTTTGAGACAAGTCTGGGAAGAGAACAAGGTGCCACATGCCATCACATCCCTGGCCCTGGCATGAGACACCCCTAAACTAATGCTTGGGCTGGGCTGCCTTGAAAGTGCTCTGCAAAGAGAGACAGTCAAGTCTCCCAGCCCCCAAGCTTCCTGGCATCTACTACTCCCCTAGAAATGTGTAGAGCCTGATTTGCCCCTTTCCTTGCGGTGGCCCTCCTTGCAGCTTGCAGGATGCAGGTTAGGCTTGCCAGTGTGGAGGGTGGCACCAGCATGAGAAGTGTTAATTTGACAGTCTCAGATATCCCTGAGTCACTGTGTAGGGCTGTGCTGACCCTCCCCTGCCTTCCCCAGGGTCAGATCCCAGTAGTGAGGCTGTAAAGAGAACCCCACTTCTCCTGACCTTAGCCTTGCCCTCCTGCAGATTCCAGTGGAATGGCATGGGAAAACCTAGCCAACTATAGGTTGGCTTACTATAGTCATAGAAGAAAATCCCCAAATCCTCCCTATGAGCTTTGGGATTTCATCAGGGGATATCTACTTTGGCTGAAACCCAGGGCAGCATGTAGGCCAGGAACTTTCGCAAGGTAGGGTCTGCACCTGGGCCGCTTCTGTCTCTCCTGCAGCGCCTAGCATGGAGCTGGGCAAATAGTAGGCAATGGAATTACCAGGAATGACATGTCAGCAGGCCGACGTGATCTTGGTTTTCTAAAAACCAAGGAGGCTGCAGGTCAGCCATGAGCTATGGAGCCAGCTGGAGAGAGCTGTCAACCTTGTGCTTGCCCTGACAGGCCTACCCTCCTGTGGCTCAGGGCTGTGGGCAATTTTAGAGCATTTTGACCTCTTCTGTTTAATGAAATATGAAGCAAAAAGCTGTTCTTATTTCTAAGGCAGCAGTCCAGACTCCCAGATAAATGCCTGCTGGAGTTGTTACCCCATTTGTGAACAGACTGGGTTCCAGCAGGCCTGATTCGAGGGACACTGCCCAGACTTTCAGACTTCCCCACGTCAGGCCCCGTCCCCTTCCACTGTGTAAATAGGGCCCTCCTAACTCTGGGAACTGGGAGGGAGGGGTGCTCTGAGGCCTTCGCCAAGGAAACAAAAATGGGACAGGGCTTGGACATTGAGCCCCACGGCTGGTTTCCTGAGGTGGCACGGGCTGGGGAGAGGTTCCCCTGGAGCACTTAGGAAATTTACTGCTTAGTGTGGGTGCTCCTGTGGCTAAAGCCCGGTGAGGAGGAGGGGAAGCTCTGGGGAAATGGAAGAAGGCTCCTAACCATAGCTGTTCAGAGTGGGCACCCTGGAAATGACACCCCCTGGGAGTCCCATCTACCTTTCCCAAGGGAGCTCCAGCTCCTCGCCTCCATTCTCTCTGCAGGGGAGCCTGAGCATCCAGCCCCAGCAGACAACTCTGCAGGCACGACCACCCACCCTCAGCGGTAAACCCCGGTGTCCCCAAGAATACCGTGTGGCTCCTCTTGGGTCTTGTGTGTGTGTATGCAGGGGCGGGGCGCGGGAGGGAGCTGCTGGGGGCATAGCCCTTACCTGAGAGGGAGTAGTCAGTGCTGGTCATCCTCATGGCAGGTGTGTAGGAGACGCGGGGAGCCAGGTCTCGGCCCTTCTCTTTCTGCCGCCGCTGGTGCCAGGCGAACAGGCCCAGCAGCACCACAATGAGGAATAACAGGAGGACGATGCCTGTGACAGCACCCACCGAGTGCCGCTCTGCACCCAGTGCTGGGCTGATCTTGGTGTAGGGATTTAGCTCCTCCATCATGAGGGCAGCTGCGGGCAGAGGGAGGGGCTGAGCCTGGGGCAGGCCTGCTTGCTCTTCATATCTCCTCAGCCTGGGGCCTAGACTCCTAAGGTTGGGAGACCCGGGTGCTGGTCTTGGCCCTATTGTTCAATCCCTTCAACCTCACGTGTCTGTCTTCAACTGTCTACAAAGGGTAGCGTCCCAGGGTCGTGACAAGGAGCAAATGTGATCATAGGTGGGAACCAAAATTATGGATGTTTATTGAGTGTTTTACTCTGTTGTAAAAATGAGTTAGATATTAACTCATTTGATCTTCCAAGCAGCCCTATAAAAAAGCTGTTTATAAGTCCTCTAAGAAATAAAGACTAATTATTTCCCTTTCACAGATGAAGAAACCGAGTCACCAAAAGGTTAGGTAATTTGCCCAAGATCACACAACCAGTAACTGGTAGAGTGGGTTTCTCAGGAGTCAGGAAAAACTGGACTCAGCCCCCTCCCTGTCTACCAACTGTGTGACTCAGAATCCTCAGTTTGCTCATTTGTAACATGGGGACAGCAATCCCACTGTGAGCACTAATGAGAGACTGACAACGAAAGCTGTGAGTGCTGTACCAGTGTGCCCAGGATTGCTGCTCCTAAAACCCCTCTTGATATATGTGTGGGCTCTCCTTCATCCCCCGTCAGAATGCAGTGGAAATGTCTTTTGGCCCCTTTTCTGTACTGTGGACGCTTGGGTGCCCATTCTCATCCCTACCTCCTACAGCCAACAGCAAAAACCATTTATCGAGTGCTCACTTGATGTGCCAGGCACTTTACTCACATTATCTTAACTTGGTCTTCACAACAGCACTATGGGGCTTGTCTGACTATAGACCTAGAGCCAAGGTTGAGCCCCTTTGGGCTCCTTGGCTCTCAGCAGAACCTTGTGTCTTTCCACATGTGGAGTAACAGACCCAGCAAAAGGAAATGACCGGCCCAAGGACACCTAGCAGGTAATGGCAGATCTTCCGCCTCGGTCTGCTGACCCTTCCACAGCACTGGCTTGCCGTCATCCTTCCTTGGCTCACAAAACTTGCCAAGGATGAGCAGAGGGAAGTGGTACCTGAGAGGCCGCCTTCTCCATCTGCCTCTCCAGTGCCTGGAGCCTCCCCCTCCTCAGCACCGCC